TGAGAACATTAACGGCATTAAGATCATGAATTTATATGTTTAGAGATTGTTATAATAGGCCTACTGTATTTAAATTAAAACGCATTTTACGACCCACGGATCGTTTTTAAGTCACTATATAAATAATATTACACTTTGTTATATTAATTAAAATGATTTCACTTAGCTACTTTTAATGAGTACTTAGAATTCCACTGTTGAATGCAGGTTGCAAAAACGTGTGCGTACGACTATACGGTATGTCATTACACAACAACAAATCTTTTGCTCTGTTTTTTACTGTTGTTTACATTTTCATTCATATATTCCGGTTTAATGCCATTGTTTGAAAAGAACTCAAAACAACACAACAATGGATACCGCAATTAAATCTAACACCATGAAGGCATACAACTACAGTATGGTACACTCTCTACTTAACTACATGTATATTTTCTTACTTAGAAGAAACGCCATTCCAAAATTCTATATTTTAGAAGATGTTTTTGCGACGACGTGGCTACGACACAGTTCCGGTAGTTCACATACACGCTTGCTTCAACCGTAATTTGGATATTATGAGACAGGTGCACAACCAACCAGGTATCTGAAGGAAAATTGCTGCCGCAAGGACAGTAGTGCCCTACCAGAAGCTAAACCTACAAATTATAAGTTCAGCGCTCACCCCTAATTAGCGTCCACCCTCGAATTGGTCTAACACTGGGGCCGAAACGGTATCCGACCAGTTTGTCAAAATACAGTTTGCCGAAACCCATGATTGCCGAATTAATGGCCTCTTGCCGAAATCCAGCTTGCAGAATCCATTCACCGAAATCATGAAAACCCAGTTTGCCGAATCATTTGCCGTCACCATCGTACAAAAGTACAGCATACTGTGCTATTGAAAACATGATGGGTGGATCAGGGAGGAGCCATATTTACATTGGCGTATGTGTACCCGTGTAAACGCTCTCCTTTGAATAAACGCCCATTCTAGAGCCTCATTTGGAATAAACGCTTCTTTCGAAAACACCTCGTGGCGTATTTTTTCCTCAAATAAACTCCCCCTTGACTGTAAACAGATCTAATGTGAATATCATTCCCAACTTTCTATTAATATTTTACTCCAGTAGAATTACATTTAATAACAATGGAATTAAGGGGGCGTTTGAGACAGTACGTATCCATTTAACACAAAAAAATGCCTGCCTCGAATAAACACATCCCTCGAAAAAACTCCCCCTCAAAAGCCATTCAGGGCGTTTATTCGACAAAATCGTCCGGGACCAAAAATGATAATTAGCATATCTACATAACGTTATTTTGATTGCCAATTTCTAATATTGTGGTATAAAAAAATTCCCAACTCGAAAAAAACACATAAATGTTTTACTTTCCGCAGGCTCCAGTTCGTACAGACGCAGTCACGGTAAAAGAGTGCTCCATCGCGAATGTTATGGCGTTTTTAATATTTCACTGCTTGTGACTGACTTTCGGCAAACTGGCTTTCGGCAAAATGGGATTTCGACAAAGTGAACTAAGCAATCTGGGATTCGGCAAACTGGATTTCGACAATATGGCGTAGATCCGATGAAACCTCACCACCACCAGGCCCTCTCACAGCCCCAATCGGACGTAATGCAGTGACGGCACCATAGATTCCCAGAATGAAGATCCAAATTTCTCGACAATCCATGCCAGGAAATTTCACACCCTGAGACTGTAAAAGCAGTTTTCGCTAGTGTTCGAAATTTTTTGATGGGAAGTCCAAGATCCCGTTTCCCAAGATCATCTATCAATCACCTCCGCTGGTGGCGACGACACTGTTTTCCGACTTCAAAAAAGACCTTTTTTGAGGAAGTGCCTTATATGGCATTTTCTTACAGATTTGAGTAGACATACATTACATTATAAACAGAAGAAAACAATAGAAAGTTCACTCATAAATACTGGGACGGTGTTCGGCAGGGGTAGTTTTTACCATGTAGTGTAATCACTTTTTAATATATAAATTATTATTTTATAAATAAATTAGAAATACCGGGAGTGACTTGTGGGGGATAATTTTACCTGCGTTATATTACTGTATCTAATATATTGTTGACAGTTTACTACTACATTTTCTACTCTGAGCCGACCCTTACAATGCATTTTAATGTAAATTTATGTTTACAAATGACTATAAAAGGATTCTAAGCCAACAACTCTACCTCCATACTACCGAGGAGATAATGAACCATTCCGCTAAGATACCAACCCTTAAAAATATTGTGCCAAAAAATAGTAAGCCTAGTTGCCTGGAAATACCATCTGGCAACCTATAGAAACACTTCCCCTAGTGCGCCACTAGATATCCTACCCATGCTCTGCATGGTTGGGGCAACGGTGAGAAAATTTACTAAAATCAAATATTTAAAAAAAGTTTTCAATTAATTCCTAACAGGAGCTTAAAATGCATAGGCTAATAGTGTACTACAAAACACGTATATGGTGGAACATTCGAATGACATTTAAGTGCAAAAATTATAAATATAATTTATAGGTAAAAGTATATGTATTTTTTTAAAGTAATAAAAATATGAGAAGTGGTCCGGCCAAAGCCGGTGCGGCCGGGCGCGGTTCCGACGGCCCTGTGAATCAAAATAGGCCAACGAATTGTGAGTTGGTCATTGTTTTGTGTCATCCCTATAATCAGAAATACCGGAATGGTATCTAACAGGGTACAGGGGCGCAGCTAGGGTAAAATTTAAAAAAAAAATCACGTGAAAACACCACTGATCTTTCAAAGCCTATTATACCAATCTTTTATGCCGAGCTTAAATATAGAATAAATTTACATAATAGCAAAGGCTAGTAAATTTAAGAACTTAATAATTGATATGTAGGCCCTAATAAAATCCGTGTTTGCCTATTTATATATGTATGTGTGTGTATATGTATGTATGTGTATATATAAATATATGTGTATGCATATACAGTATATATATATATATATATATATATATAATATAATATAAATCATCAATGGTACATATACAGTGTTTAATAAGGACATGATGGAACATCGTAGGCTACCCT